ACCCCCTCACCTGCTGGGCAGGGCCACGTGTGGGGCCAGCTGACCTCAGGACAGAGCAGCTAGGAGGGAAAATGTCAGCAAGGCCCACCCAGCGTGAGACCGTTCCACCGCTGTGGTGACTTTCCGCAATGTGGATGTTGAACACAGCCTCCCCTTTCACGGTCATTCTCCATGAGTCACCCTGCCTCTTCATCCCAGGGTGCGGCCACGGGCTGCCAGGTACCTCTCTCCCCCCACCCCCATCAGGTCCAGTGGGGACGGGGCTGCCCTCACTGCTCCACTAAGGCCAACAGGGAAGGCGGCTGTGGCTTCGTGCGGCTCCGCTTCTGCCCAGCCGCCTTCCCCAGGCTCACAGCACTGCACTTGGCGTCTGTCCAGCTCTCCTGAGAACTTTCTCACACGTTTTGCAGGGTGCTGTTAAGTCCCTCAGGCCCCTTTTCTTACTCTCATCCTCTCCTGGCTGTTTCTGCGCTGAGTGCAGTTCTCGTGCCGGTCCGCAGGAGCGTCTCCTACCTCACAAAGGTCACCGTGGGTTCAGCGAAGTCACTAACGCCCCACATCAGTGCCCAGGTCTCCAAGGAATCAAGCTTTAAAGAAATTATCACTTGCGCTTTATGCATGTGGGTGTTTTGCCTTGCTGGGAAGAGCAGCCAGTGCTCTTAACTGCTGAGCCATCTCTTGAGCCCATCAAATGCTTTGCCTCTCCTGTAAATAGTCCAACACTTCCTCTCACACACACATTCTTTTAGTGCTGTAGGTTCTTTCCCTACTGTCCTCCAGTCCCTGACCTCAGCTGGTGATAACCAACTATAATGGCTCATATGAGCCAACCCATCAGGGTCTGGTTTTCCTCATATTTCCTCAGATTTTGTACTTTATCTTGACGTTGTCATGTTGAGAGGATGGAGAATCACCGAGGAGACGAGCCTTGGGGCACACCTGTGAGGGACTGTCTAGACTGGGTTAACTGCCAGGAATCACATGGGCTGGGAAGCTGGACTAAATAAAAGGAAGAGCTCGAAGGAGCTGAACACAGGCAGTCAGCACTTCCTGACTGGGGCTGTGATACGACAAGATGCCTCAAGCTTCTCTGCCAGGACCTCCCACCAGGATGGACAGTATGTGGCCTCCAACTGTGGGCTAAAACAAACCCTCCCCTCCCTCTCCTTTCCTTCCCCCGCCTCTCTCCTCCCCTCTCCATCACTCCTCCTTCCCCTCCATCACTGTCCCTCCCTCTCTGCCCCCTCCTTCCCTCTCCATCTCTCCTCCCCTGTCCCTCCTTTGCCATCCCCCTTCTTCCCTCTCCATCACTCCCTCCCCCTCCTTCCTTTCCTTCCTTCTGTTGCTTTGTCAGGTCCTCTGTTGCAGCAACAAGACAGCTCATGTAGTTGCGGCATTCAGTTTCACTGTCTTGAGAGCCATGCTGTGACAGGCTTTCACTTTTCTATTGTTAGGTCTGAGAATCACTGAAGAAAGACTCCAGACTCACGCAGTATGCAAGAGCAAGGAGTGTTTAGGCTGCAGAAATTTACAGACAGGCCAGGGCCACCGTTCCTTGGAATGGAACCACGGAGTAAGCCTACAAGTCCACTTCAAAGGCAATTGGGGAAGACATCCAGGAGTGAGGTAACCTTTCATCTGATTGGTTGACTCAGGAAGTATGGAGGATTTAGGATGGGCTGAACATTTAGGAACTTTCCAGAGTTGCTAAGGACTTTTCTTCAGATTTGCTGAATCATTATACTTCGCTCAAGCCCATGTGTTAACCTTTAGGCTGATTGGCTGACCACGAGCTGCAGTTTCAGTCAGATTTGCCAGATGATTGGGGCCTTCTGGGGGTCTCTCAGGGGCTTTGAAGTTATTAGGCTCTCACTATTTATGTCTTAGACTAGTGAGACGCTCCGTGGGTAAAGGCTCTTGCCATCAAGCCTGATGACCCAAGTCTGGTCCCTGCGACTCACGTAGTGGAAGCAGAGCCCCGACCTCTGTGTTTTCCCTGACTTACAAGTGTACATTACACCCACGCACATACACATACATTCACACGACAAATAAATGTATTAAGACAAAAGTCTTTCCTGGGCTGATCACATGGCTCAGTGAGTAGGGACTTGCTACCAACCCTGACAACCTGAATTTGGGCCCCGCGACCCACCTGGTGGAAGGAGAGAGCTGGTTCTTGCAGGTCATTCTTGGAGTTCTATATATGCCCTGCACGCACACAGACACACACACAGTGGTAATTAAAAACATGCTTTTCAGTCTTTCCGCTGGGGATTAGCTCAGTTGGTAGAATGCCGGGCTAGTGCGCATTGGGCCTGGCCTCAGTCCCCAGCGCCACACCCCTGGGACTCAGGCCTGTAATCCCAGCCCTCCAGAAGTGAAGCGGGGTGGTGGTCAGTGCAAGGGCATCCTGGTTCACACTTTGTTTCTTGACAGTGCGGGCTACATGAGACCTTGTACTAAACAGTCAGTCTTTTTCAGATCAACCAGTTCCGAGGCAAACTATTCTGGTTATCATAGCGTCCTTCAATAGCCATGTCCCCTCCTCTGTAAGTAAGGCCAGACCCAGGGCTGTCTTCTGTCTCTTTGCTCCCTTGTCTCTGCCTGATTTTGGGTTTGTGGCTCCCAGGAAGTGGCACAGCGCAGATCTAACCTTCGTCCCCCTTATGCGTTCCAACCGTAAGGAACAGCACACAGTGCCTCCAGCTCAGTGTTTTCCCCTTTCGCTTTTCTGGCCAATTCAGAGGCCAGTGTGGACAATAACATCCACACGTCTGTCTCGCTGCAGCTTCTCCTGCACACGGGGGGTATTTTTCTAGAAACACCTCAGCTTCAGTTGCATGTCTTATTGCCCAGAGCAAAGGCTACATCGTTGACAGACACCATTGCCTGCTTAAGATCCTATCCTATATACACCATTTAGAAGGGATGTAATTATATATATAATAAATTCTCTCTCTCTCTCTCTCTCTCTCTCTCTATATATATATATATATATATAATATTACAGTCTGTCTGTTTAAAACTTTGTGTGAGCCAGGCATGATGGTGCATGGTCTGTAATCCCAGCACTCAGGGAAGCAGAGGCAGGCAGATCTCTGTGAGTTTGAGGCCAGCCAGGTCTACAAAGTGAGTCCAGGACAGCCAAGCTACACAGAGAAACCCTGTCTTGAAAAAAACAAACGCTGTGAATGTCTGCACGTATGTCCCTGCACCATGTATGTGCTTGATGCCCACAGAAGCCGGAAGAGGGTGTTGGGTTACCATAAAAAGTTAGGATGGGTGTGTGCTGCCAGGTGTTGCTGGGATTGAACTGCGGATCTTCCGCCAAGGTGGCAAGTGCTCTCCATTGCCGAGGCGGCTCTCCAGCCCCTGCCCTATATTCTTCAGCATCAGCCATTTGGGGCATCCACCCTGTGCTCACAGGTGGGCCCATTCATCAGAGAGATGTCCCGCCTAACACAACAAGGAGGAGGACGACTGCCCTCTGACCCTTCCCCGGACACTTTCTCCTCCCGGGGGCTGCTTCGTTGCATGCCCCACCCACGGCAGAGGCAGTGCCGAAAGGATGGCCACATTGGGATTTACTGTGCAGGCAGCCCACCCTCAGACGGCTTCAGCTGCGTGAGTGTCACTAACAGAAGAGACAATCTAACTTACCCTCAGGTCTGTCGTGCCCCACATCTGGCAGCAAGCGCTACGTGAACTTTTCTTGGGGAGAGGAGCAGTCTATTTATTTATTCTTAACAGTCCAAAGAAATGATTCCACTTGTGTTGTCTGATGAGCCGATGAGCTTAGTGTCTTAGTCTGTGTTCTTCCGCTGTGAGGAGACAGGGCTGAGGCAACTTTTTATAAGAGAAAGCATTTAATTGCTGCTTGCTTAGTTTCAGAGGTTTCGCCTGTTAGCATCATGGGTGGAAGTGTGGTGACCTTCAGGCAGGTGCGCTGGAGATGCAGCTGACAGTTCTGTATGTGTGTCCACCGGCAGCAGGAGAGACACTGGGCCTGCTTGGGCTTCTGAAACCCCAAAGCCCACCCTCAGCGTCACACCTCTTTCAATAAGGCCACATTACCTCCTAATCCTTATCAAGTAGTGCTACTTCTGATGACTGAGCATTCAAATGTGTGAGCCTCTGGGGCTGTTCCTGGTCAAACCACAATTAGGGTTACATACAGGAACCTGGGCAACACTGACTGACTACCACTGAGGGAAGCGGTGCCTGCAGCCCCACCCTTCCCAGGACGGGTGGACCCCTGCACCCTCCTGGTCAGCTCCCTGCATGTCTTCAGGAAGGGTGGAGACACCATGACTAAGTTAACGGGCTTTTAGTGGGGGCCTCCTGCTAGTCCTCACTGGGTCTCAGAGTTCAAGAGGGCAACACAAGTCATGCCGCACCAGAGGACAGGTGTCCCAGCAGCTCAAAGCCACCACTCCAGGAAGTGTTTTGAAACCACCTCAGAACCTTTCCAAGTTATTTCTTCAGGGGAAGTGGACTTCCAGGTGCTAAAGCACAGGCTGTTTTTTAGAACTCCGGTGGAAACAATGCCTGTTTTTGTTTTGTGAGTTTTTCACGTAGTCCAGGCTGGCTTGGAACTGGCTATGGAGCTGAGGCCAACTTTGAATTTCTGATCTCCTGCTTCCACCTCCAGGATGCTAGATTGACTATAGGTGTGTAACACATTGGCTTGAAAATATTCTGTGTGATGTGTTCATATATGTGTGTGGCAGCAGAGGCTGACATTAGTGTCTCTGCGCCATTCTCCACACCACTGCGCCTGGCTTCCTCCTTGTGAAGCAAGCTCTTCACACATTGAGCATCTCTGCAGCCCAGATCCTGGCTGTGAGACTTAGAACTGAATTGCTGGTCGTGACAGCAGATTAGTGGACACAGATTGCACTGCCCCAGGCTTCCTTCTGCTTTATACTTCAACTAGTTTGATCCTCATTAATTTCTTCCACTGGTATTAACTGCTCCATAGGTGAAAGCCACAAAAGTCAGCTTAAAGTTTTTATTTCATTAACTTAAAAGGTGAACAAAATGTGTATTTCAATTTTATTAAACTTATTTAACTGAAATATGTTTACATATAAGACAAACAGATACAGGATTTCAAGTAACTTATGGGACAGCCATTATCTTAAAAATATTCTCTTCCACACACACAATCTTTCCTTTGTACAGTATAAAAGCTAGATGCAAACTTCTGGTGTAGACCGATTTCACTGTTAACTGTTGATGAAGACGGGAGACACACTTGTTCACAGTTCAGTGAAATGACACAAACAAAAGCTGTTGTTCCCTCACACACAAGGATGCCCATGCGCCTCACAGTAGGACTGTGCGTCCCGCTCACGCCACATCATTTCTTCTTCTTTCCTTTCCCCTTTTTACTCCCCTCTCCTTGCTGAAGACTTGGGTCAGCACCTCCTGTTTTTTGTGTCCTTGTTTTTAGTTTGGGGATCATTTCTGCTACATAGAGCATCACGGCTTTACCTAGAAGTCAGAAGGTAGGTTTAGCGTAACCTTAGATATAAGACCTAGCACATCACTGACTGAACATCACTGGCTAAGAAACTGGGCAGTGATTTTAAAAATCAAGTGACTGTGAGGGCTGTAATCTGCTCAAGGGACACCTCCTGAACGAGTGTAAGCGCGAACCACACTGAAATGCTTACATGAGCAAACTGGAAATATAAAACACTAAGTCTGAGACCAGACTTCTGGTCTTGGTCTTAGCAACTGGCATGAAGCTCACCAGAGAGGAGCCACAGCAAATTAGAAATAGAGCATCATGGCTCCTTAAGCTGAAACCCAGGGCTCTTGGCTCTTTCCAGGCTCTTAGCCTGGAAACCCAAACTGCAGTAAGCAACAGGGAACGTCACTCCTGGACATAGATTGCCAACACCTCTCCCCCCAATACACACAGAGGGATGAGGGTGGGAGGAAGGTCATTAAGCAACAAACATCACCCCTCACTCCTAAACCCAGATGACACTGACACTCCCCACTCCTGCTCTAACTACCACAAGCCACTTTTTTGGCTTCAACATACCAACCTCCATGGCTTTGAAAACTGTTTAGAAACAGGAAGTATTACCGATTTTTAACTGCTTTTCAAATCTTTATCTTTTCTTATGTGTCTATTTTGTGTCCTTTTGAGGCAGTAAGGGAAAATGCTCAGAGAAAACACAAACTGGAAAAGTTTCCTGTGTGTTGCTCGGCAGGTGCCCACCACCTAGCCACTTTCACAGCCCTAGCTACCCAATTGTTTGTATTTGACTAAAAAAATAAACCAACAGGCAATTAGCCTGACAGTGTAACTGTTTTTACTTTAATAAATTCAAAGAGGTTAAACTAAAGGGGAAAAAATTAAGCAAATATCTCTAAATTAAAATATATACATTAAAAAGTTGAAAAGAAAACATTACCAATATTGACACTGTTTGTTTTGAAGTAGAACCATCATTCTCCGTGTCTACTCATGCACATACTCTGTGTGTAGGCATGCATCCCAAAGTGCACACATGACGGTCAAAAAACAACTTTGTGGCATCTGCTCTTTTCACATTTACATGAACTTCAGGGATTGAATGTCTTTCCCTCTGAGCCACCATTAGTTCTCTGACTATTGGTCCCTGATTTCCACTCACTACCCTACTTTGCTAATCATTAGGTAACTTGGTCTTAGCTTCTTGTCCATGTAAAAAGCCATTTCTATCAATAATGAATCTATTCATCAATCAACAATAGTCTTAGTATTTAAGTTTATGTGAGTGGCGCTACACTGTGAGCATTTCTTTTTTCGTTCAATATTTTTCCTTAGATTGAACCAGGACCCTGTGCATGCTGGGTACAGTCTACCACTGAGCCACACCCCCAGATTTCCTAGTTTTCGATTTTGAGACAAGGCCTTACAAAGTTGCCAGGTTAGTCTTGAGCTCATGCTGTAGCCCACACAGGTACTGAACCTGCAACAATCCTTCTGCCTCAGTTTCCTGAGTGCTAAGGTACAGACGTGTGGCATTTATACCCTTTGTACAACATAATCTACCCCAGAACCCTATGAATTTATTTAAAAAGCTTACGTGATGGGAACTGTACGAGACAGAGGCTGCCATCTTCCTGTTTGAGCTGTACGCGGACCCTGCCTCTGTACTGGACATCACGATTCCATTCTCTGGAGTACATTTTGTTTTTCTAACACAAATAAAACAAAAACAGGCTTTCAGAGGGTTATTACATCAATGAGGTGATTGTAAAAACACAGCGACGAGATTTACATCATACCTCCAGAAATGCATTCAGTCCAACTGCTGAGCACACATCCTGAATCTCAGTAGCAGTGGGGTTTTCCACAGCCTGAACAGGTAAAAACAAAAACACTCAACAACTGAGTTTTAAGTAGTTATTACTATATTGTTGTATAATTTCTAGTATTATGACCAAAACAGACTAAACCCTAGTGTCCTTTTTTACTGTTCAATACTACCACTTATTTCTACTATAAATTAAAAAAAAAAAATCCTTAAGAATAACATAGTTGTGTGTTTCTCTCTTCCAACATTAACTGTATGAGAGAAAGGGCTTCACTGGTGCATACCCTAGCACCTAATATTCTGAACACAGGAGGCGCTTAATGCAAACTGACTGCAAAATGATTATACATCAACCATTTTCAAATACTGTCATCTACTAAAGCTCACCATGAGTCCCTATGGCCCTGCAATTCAAGTGCAGAAGCCAAGCTCAAGCATGCTCACGGTAGCACTCTATCTGTCTTACTTATTTTTAGTATTTATTGTGCGTGTGTTTGGGCACCATGCTCGTACAGTGCACACACAGTCAGAGACGCCTGGGAGCCCTGGAACTGAGTTACAGGTGGCTGGGTGCCTGCATGTCTTCTGCGAAAGCAGTAAGCGTTCCTCCCTGCTGAGCCATCTCTCTAGCTCCAGAGCACTATCTATGGAGCCTCAAACTGGAAACAACCAACTTTATTCCATAAACGGAAGGAAGGGCTGTGAGAGTCACACAATGCAGTTCAGCAAAGCAGCACTCTGATCAGGGAACGCTCACACCCTCCAGCCCAGGAACATCTGCTCACACTGGGAGACAGATTAACGAAGAAAAGGAACTCTTATCTAGCAGGTAGAGGCCAGGGACGTTATCCTGCTTCTCAAACGGCACAGAACAGTCACCTACAGCAAACAGCTGACTCAGAACTGTCAGTGGGGGCTGGAGAGACAGCTCAGTGGCTGAGAGCTCGTACTGCTCTTGCAGAGGACCCAAGGTCAGTCCCTACTGCCTGTATCAGGCAGCCCAGCTCCACGGGATCTGACACCTCCTTCTGGCCTCCATGGTGCCTGCATTCACACATGTACATTCCCACATGCAGACCTTACAGATACACAACAATAAAAATAGAGTAAATCTTTAAAACAAACAAAAACTCTCAATGGTGTTACTGCTTAGAAACTCTTGCTTGGAGCAATTAGAGTTAAACTACACTCCAAGGGCTGGAGGTGTTGCTTAGCGACAGAGAACTTGCTTGCCCTATCTGAGGCCCCAAATTCATTCCCAAGCATCAACATATACAAAAAATTCCAATAAGAATATGAATAAATCTCACAGCTTTAAAAATCTGTGAAATAGAAAAGTACACAATGAATAACCCCAAAATATAAAATGAAAAACCAGCCCAAGGTAACTATGGTGTTGGAAATCAGAACAACGTTCCCTTGTGTGAGTGAGCACTAGAAGAAGATAGAGAAGGAGACAGAAGGAATTTTCATGCAGGCTGTTTGGTAATGTTTCTTAAATCTGGGTGCTCTTTCCAGCTCTACTCCCTATATAAAAATTATTCAGTTTATACATTTAAAAACTTTTCTGAGTTTGTTAGCTACCCATGAATGAATTTTTCTAATCGCTACCCTAAATGCATTTTTCTAAAACTGAAATTTTCAGAGAGCATGTGGGAGCATGTTATCAAAGCCTGTCCCGGCACCTTGATGTTGGGTACTATTGTAAACAAAGCTGGGAGGAGGCCAGTGGACTTTACTCTTCGAAGTAACTGGCAAATGAAAGTCACTAATATAAAAATAGCTAACTTTGCTTCAGACCTCATTTGATTACACAATGTAAGGCCTCTTTAAAAGTAGAATATGATACAAAAATTCTGTGAGATGTCTCATTTAGCATTGGGCATTTCCTATGCCTAGCTCACCAGACCAGCCGCAAACTAGGGTTTCCCTTTTCAAAGATCGCATCTTTTGGAACTGTAAAACCCTTAGGGCCTTCCACATGTAGCTCTACCTCCACCCCCTACATCTACTTTGCAAAAGTACTAACTTTTGTATACTCCTCTAAAAAAACAAATAAAGACAAAACTCAACAAGCTGCACTTTGTACAAACCTTTATTCCTACACATAAAAAAATTGTGTCTGCATCCTGTCCGTTGAACTATATGATCTATCACTTTGCTTTTCTTGAGATGACTGTCATAATTTTGGTTTTTAAACATGAAAACACTACAAACAGGCCAGCAAGAATCCTCTCTCGTTTTGCAAATATTCTCTTCAGTCTCAAAGAAATAAAAAAGAAGCAGTCGTTGCCATAACAAGCCAACCTTCCCCAAGCCTTCAGCGGGCTAGGTATCAGACACTCACCTTACTTATGGGAATCCGCCTCCCCTCAGCTATGGTCTTCTTGTTATTTAAATAAGCGGGGTAAATACAAATAAACCTGCCACAAACACACAAAAGAAGCACAGCTAGGTAACGCAGGCGGTAATTTAAAGGGGATAATTTCGCCGTCATGGCAGAGACATCTTATACCATAACTTATTTAATATGTATATCTTTACATGCTTAAGCCAAACAATGTGCAACTGTTACTCTGACACAACAAGAGGCAGGAGCGCTCTCTCACACCAGGAGGAAAAACTCAGAAGACAAGAGGCGAGCCTCTTTGAAAGCGACACCAATGCCGCACGCGTTTCTCGCCGAGCTTCTCTAACGTCAAGTCAAGGCACCGCACGGCCCGCCCCAGCTACAGAGGAGCTCGGTGCCGCCGGCGCTCGGAAGCTGCGGGACACCGGGGTTCCGGTGGGAAGAGCGCCCCGACCCCGCGACGCCGCGGCCAGCCTTCCCGAGGACCCACCTGTCCTGGTCGGCCGGGGACCGTGCGGCTGCGCAGGCCATCTCCGCGGGAGCCCCGCGGCCGCGCCAGCCCAGCAGGACGAACACCAGCTGGAAGTTGAGTCGGAGCGCGGAGGCCGTCCGCCCTTCCGGCGGAAGTCCTACCTCCAAAGCGGCCGGCCTGGCCGGTTTTCCTTCACAAGTTGGTTCCGGCACGGAGTGACGTGGCTTGCGAAGTGGTCTTCTCGCGAGAAGAGTGCCCGGCTGCTCGGGTGTGGGTGCCCTTCCAGCTGTCTGGGCTTGCCTCAGCCTGCTGTGCCCCCGGCTGGGTGTGCTCACCTGCTGTGGCGGAGCCGTTCACCACAGGGAGTCTCTAGTTTGGAGCAAGATGCCGGTTAGCTCTGGCAGGGCCATGCCCTTTCTACGCTCATCTGTATATCTTCGGTTCTCTCAGCTTGCTTTCGACTTAGTAAGGCAAATTTCCAGGGCGGTACCCTTAGCAGTGTTTTTGGCACTGTGCTGTATAAATAGAAATGTTCGACATCTTTAAGCTCCTAAAGCGCATACCCTGAAATTCATATTTTTGCATACTTTGTTCAGTTGATGTGCGGGTGAAGGGAAAACAACACCTCTATCCTTTTTTGACACATAGGCTAATGGCAATTTATAAAGGTACCAGAGGAAACCCAGGGTTAGGACGAGGTGTTAAATTTTGATTGGGCATGGTAATGAGGTGAGCCAAAGGGTCTTTTGTTCGCTGGGCTTCAATACATTGATAGCTGGACGTTGGTGGTCAGCCCCAGAAGGAGGAGTTGGCCAAATAAGGAAATAGACCTTGGTGGCTAGCGTTAGGAATGTAATCTAAAGGGTTTTGACAAGGCTGAGGGAATGGGGAGATGGGCAAGGCCTGCCAGAGCCATGCTTATCATGCTCGAGCTGGCCAGATCCTGTAGGATAACGGGGGCTGGAAAGATGACTCAAAATTCAAGAGCGCTTGTCGCTTTTGTAGAAGACCAGCTTTGTATTTCAAAACCGCCTTTAACTCCGAGTTCCACGAGCTCTGCCACCATCAAGCCGCGCTCATTTTGCAAGTGAAACACTCACAACAATAATATCTGTTTTTCAAGAACGTTAGCTTAAGTGTGTCAGGATTGCAGAAAAGCCTTTTGTTGTTGTTGGTGGTGGTTTGTTTTTGAGATGAGGTGTTAATAAGTTGCCCATTGTTCAGGCTGGTCTTGGAACTTTTGCTTTGAGTCTTCTGGGCCCAGTCTCACCAGGAGCTTGGATTACAGGCTGGAACGGGAAATTAATCAGGCCACTAGTCTATTTAATCGAAATGTTAGAACCCATAGCCTAGCCTAATCATTCACACTCCTGGAGCTGAACTTTGCTAAAAAAAACTGGCTTGGGTACAAGGGTACCTTGGAACAGTATATTTTAACCTCTTCAGTTGCAGAACAGTTTTTAGCATTTAAAACTTTGTGTGTGTTTGTGTGTAGAGGTGACCTTCATTCACATTGTATTAAGGTGTGTCTCTGTATATGTGATTGTTAATTGCACACCCATGTCAACTGAAGGACAGAGAACAACACTTGGGGGCTGGTTCTCTCTTGCTACATTGTATGCTCTGGGAATGAAACTCAGGGCATCAGGCCTGAGCATAAAAACTTTTACCCACTGAGCCAGCTTGCTGGTTCTATTTCAGCATTTTGGTCAACTAAACACACCATCCCTACATTTTTGGTTGGTTATTCCACATCTACAAAGACGACCTCCTCCTCCTCCTCCTCCTCCTCCTCCTCCTCCTCCTCCTCCTCCTCCTCCTCTTCCTCCTCCTCATATGTAGGCACAGATGCTACTGTGTGCCTTTATTTTCTGAGCCCTGCTCCCACTTTACTATTTATTTATTTTTTGAGATAGGGGTCTCATATTGCACAGGTTGGCCTGAAACTTGGGCTTCCACATCCCAAGTGCTGGATTAGTAGGCATTGTTGGCCTCTATGCCTGGATTTTGATGTTCACTTTTACAAATGAAAAACCAACTAAAATAAAAAAACCTTCCAAAAGTTTAAGCTGCAATAAGCTCAGATAGTTCACCTCCTTACACCGAGTACAGATGACTGAGTGCAAACGCCCAGCTAGTCCTGAACCTATCTCCATCATTTTACTTCCTGCTGCTAATTAATTAGTACATGATCAGATCTAGTTCTGATAAAAATAGACAAATAAGAGTTTTTACTCTCCCCTCTTTCTCACTCTCTCTGTGTATAACAGAGTTTCACTGTATATCCCAAGTTGGTATCAGGTTCAAAATCGTCCTGCCTCAATCCCCTTCCCACAAGTGCTAGGATTATAGCAACCATGCTCTACTTAGTTTTTTAAAGCATACACATTTCCTGGAAAGGAGTGTTATTCTAGGCACCGGGGAGCTGGCAAGGAGGTGGACTCTCCCCATCTAGCACTCATTCTTCCTTATTTAATACCCAGTGTCAGCCTGGCACTCCAGCTCTCTCCCGCTGGGTTCAGTCTCTGAAACCTACATAGTGGAAGGGAAAGAACCAATTTCTCCTAATTGTCCTCAGATCAAATAGACATGTAATAAATGTGAAAATAAATTAATGAACAGGATCCGTTGTTCATTGTTCTCTCCAAGACACATGCCTGCCTCGTCACCAAGGACAGGGCACTCCCAGGTGAAAGGACAGGAAAAGCTACCTCAAGCAAATGAAACTAAGAAAGAAGCAGGCCTCACTATTCTGATAGTATTCAAAAGAGACTTGAAACCAAAGTTAGGATTTCATCCTCCTAAAGGGAACAGTCTACCCAGAGGGCATGACAATTTTAAGCAGAAATACACTGAACACAAGTGCCTCCAAATTCATAAAACAAATTCTAGTGCCAGAAATCTATGTTAGAGAAAAGACAGCCTCTTCAACACATGGTGGTGGGAAAAGAAATTAGACCGCTATCTCTCCCTCCTCAAAAACCAGCTCCAGATGGGTCAAGCACAAGATCTGAAATCTGAAAAAGAATATAGGCACAGCTAAGAATTTTCTAAGTAGGACTTTGGTTATCCAGAAAATAACATCAACAATTGACAAACGGAACCTCAAGAAATTCAAAGCCTTTACATAGCAAAGCAAACAGTTGATCAGATGAAGCGGGACTTTCTCAGACCCACGAGTGGTAAAAATAGTGACACAGAGGCTTTTTAGTATTTTAAAGCTTAGGCCTTTAGCTTGGGCAATCTTCCAGCTTAACCCATCTATGTTGCCATGACCTGCCATGTGGCTAGCTCTGTATCTTTCTCTGCTTTGCTGCAGTCCATCCTCTTCCCTCTGTCTGTCTCCTGAATCTTCTGCATATCATTCTCCCAGTGTCCCTCTCTCTGTCTGCAAATTCTGCCCCCCCCACTTCCTGCCCAGATATTGGCCACCAGATCTTTATTAGAACCAATGGGCAAGTGAGGAAGGATGGATATTTACAAACTGCAAGACTGGTGATGGGCCAAAGAAATAACAATACCAAGATCTGGCTGGTACTTAGCGCCCTGCCTGTTTAACCATCAACAAAAGACTACACAGAGACCTTCACGCAGTGTATCCCAACAGGGAAAGCCTATAGAACGGGAGGAAAAAAATCTTTGCTAGTTGTACATCTGCCAGGATTAAAATCTACAGTACGAAACTCAAAAACTGAATGATAAACCAAGCAACCCAATAGATGGATTAATGGAATGGATAGTTTTTAGAAGACGAAGTGCAAATGGCATTGCATATATGAGTAAGTATTCAACCCTACAAGCAAACAGAAACATGTGACGCTATGCCAGGATCCCATCTCACCTCGGGCAGAACTGCAGTCGTTAAGAACAGCCGAGGCTGGGGCCAAGTGTAAAGCACCTGCCCCTCACACATTAGGTCCTGGGTTCGATCTCCAGCTAAGAGAATGAACAAACAACACCAAATGTGGTAGGGAGGAAGACAAAGGAGGGCCCTCCACACAGCTGGTGGGGATGTCCAGCCACTGAAAAGGTAGAGCTAACACAGGACCTAGGCAGACCGCTCCTGGGTATTTACTTATCCAAAGGACTCTAAGTCAGTGTATTAGATATTCTCCACCTCAGTGCTTATTGCAGCAGGATTCAAAATAACTAAGTTATGGAACTGTGTAGTATTCATTGACAGGGCACCGAATAAAGAAAATGTGGCTTATATACACTGGATTTTTTCAGCTATTAAAAAAGAATGAACTTAGCCAGATGTGGTGGTGCTGCCCACCTGTGATCCCAGCAGTTGGGGAGGCAGAGGCAGGCAGATCTCTGTGTGTTCGAGGCCAGCCTGGTCTCCAGAGTGAGTCCAGGACAGTCAAGGCTACACAGAGAAACCCTGTCTTGAAAAAAACCCAAAACCAACCAACCAGCCAAACAAACAAAGAACAAACAACAAAAGAAGTTATCATTTGCATGAAAATGGATGCAACTGGAAATCATATAAGGCAAATGAAACCAGTTTCAGAAAAACAATGATCGCTCTTGTGGCTCTGGACGCTTTTCTATAGATGCATAAATCACATATGTATATATGACACGAAAGGAAAAGCAACAGTAACTAGGACAGAGTTTCTCAACCTTCCATCAGGTTGTGACCCTTTCATTTCCTAATGCTGCGGTGACCCCAAACCATAAAATTATTTTTCTTGTTAATTCATAACTGTAACTTAGCTATAGTTATGAATTATAATGTAAATATCTGATATGAGACCCCTGTGAAGTTGCAACCAACAGGGTGAGAACCTTTTATCTAGGGATTTCCCACTAATGGAGGTGGGAAGTGGGAGCGACCATAGGGAGGTTAAAGAGATTTGGGGGAATATGTTCAGCATGCAATATACACATGTATGAAATTGTATGCAACATAGTACCATGTGTAGTGAATATACACAATGGAAAAAAGGTGTCACACAAAGACTAAAAATAGAGGACCACACTGAGGGGTGAAGTCAACCCAAGCTTTAAAAGTAATCCTGCCTTCCAAATATTTTGTCTATTTTAGGATATATTTATATGTTCGTGAAAATGTGGAAAATGAACAAGATAGAAGGCTAATGATGCAATAGCCCACTCACCATGGCTTTTTAGGACCATGTATGTAAATGGAGACAATGAGGCCAG